GAACCTAAATGTTATTCGTTTTTTGGTTGGATTGAAACCTGAATATGAGGCTATTCGTTCTCAGATTTTGGGTGAATCTAGTCTTCCATCACTGCTGGAGGTTTTCTCTCGTTTACAGCGTGCTACATTATCTATTACCTCAGTAATTGATCATGATGTCTCCACTGATCGCTCAGCTCTTGTAGTTCCTAATAACCATAGTGATGGTCATCGAGGTGGTCGTGGTGGTCGCGGAGGTCGTACAGGAGGTCGTACGGGTGGTCGTGGAGGTCGTAATGGATCTTGTTCTTGTACTCACTGTCGCCGTGGAGGACACACTGTTGATTTCTGTTGGGATTTACATGGAAAACCCTCTGGTACTGCTAATCAGGCTTCTTATCAGGATGACACCTCGATTGTTGCTTCCATACCTCGGTCAGCTCCACCAGACACTGGGTCAGTTACTATTACAATGGGTTGAGAGAAGTATGCTCAGTTCCTGTCCCAGCAACAAGCTGTTTCATCTCCCTCCACTGCTACTTTTGCCCAGTCAGGTACTGCTTCCACATGTTTAATGTCCTCCATCTGCAGCCCTTGGATCATAGATTCTGGTGCCTCTGATTACATGACTGGTGCCTCTGATTACATGACTGGTGCGTCTGACGTTTTCTCTACTGATCAGTCTGCTATTTCTGCATGTAGTGTTACTCTTGCTAATGGTATTTGTTCTAAAGTTTCAGGTCTGGGGACTACTCACTTGAGTCCTGATATGTCTCTATCTTCCGTGTTATTTGTTCCTCAGTTTCCTTTTAGTTTACTTTCTATTAGCAAGATTATTCGTTCTCTCAATTGTTCGATAATTTTTTATCCCTCTTATTGTGTCTTTCAAGATCTCAAGACGAAGAGAAAGATTGGTATGGGGCATGAAGCTGGTGGCCTATATTACCTTGACTTTGATTCATCTACCCGAGCTTTACAGACCTCGTTGTCTTCTTTTTAATGACATTGTCATCTTGTGAAGCTTGTCAACTTAGTAAGCATCACCGTGTGTCATTTCAATCTAGAGTCAATAATCGTGTGTCTAGTCCATTTGAATTAGTTTATTCTGATGTATGGGGTCCAATAAAGAATATTTCATCTAATAAATATCCTTATTTTGTGACATTTGTGGATGACTATTCTCGTGTGACTTGGTTATTTTTTGATGAAAGCTCGGTCTGAATTATTCTCTATATTTGAGACTTTTTGTAAAGAAATAAAAACTCAGTTTGGTTGTCGTATGCGTACTTTACGTTCCGATAATGCTCGTGAATAGGAATCTGATCCTTTTTCAGCTTATCTTAGTAAAACTGACATTATTCATCAGACTTCTTGTGCTTACACCTCTCCACAAAATGGTGTTGCTGAACGAAAGAACCACCATTTGTTGGAAGTCACCCGTGCCTTGTTATTCCAGATGAATGTTCTTCGATATCATTGGAGTGATGTTGTTCTTACTTCTTGTCATCTTATTAACCGTATGCCCTCCTCTGTGTTAAATGGACAAAGTCCATACTCTGTTTTGTTTCCTAGTAAGCTCTTATTTTCCCTTTCTCCTAAGGTTTTTGGTTGTGTCTGTTATGTTCACAATTTGGGTCCTGGATTTGACAAACTTGATCTTCGGGCTACCAAATGTGTTTTTCTTGGTTACTCTCGCACGCAGAAGGGGTATCGTTGCTACAGTCCTTCTCTGCACCGATATTTTACTAGTGTGGATGTCACATTTGAAGAATCTGTTCCATACTTTTCAGCACTCTCTCAGCCTTTGAATCTGGACTTTGGCTCCTCTTCTATACCACCATTAGATATTCTGCTGCCCACTGTGTTACCACCTACTTTACCTCTCCGTGTCTATTTTCGCCGTCCTCACCCATTGACTGAAGTACCTGTACCGTCTTCCTTGTCGCCTTCTGATCCAGGAACATCAGGTAATTTAGATTCTTTACCTATTGCTCTTCGCAAAGGTACTCGTTCGTGTGTTACTAATCATCCTATTTATCATTTTGTTTCATATGATACCTTGTCACCTGTCTTCTCCTGTTTTACTTCCCAATTATCTGCTATATCTATTCCTAAGCATTTACAGGATGCATTATCTGATCCGGGTTGGAGGAAAGCTATGGAGGAGGAGGTGGATGCCTTACATCATAATGGAACTTGGGATCTCGTCCCTTTACCCTCTGGTAAACGAACTGTTGGATGTCGTTGGGTGTATGTTGTTAAATTTCATCCAGATGGTTCTGTAGAGCGTCTCAAAGCCCGACTTATTGCAAAGGGCTTTACTCAGACTTATGGTGTTGATTATGAGGAGACTTTTTCTCCTGTTGCTAAAATTTTCTCTGTTCGTATCTTGATTTCTTTGGCTGCTAATCTTGACTGATTCTTGTTTCAGTTAGATGTCAAGAATGCCTTCTTACAGGGTGATTTGGTTGAAGAGGTCTACATAGAGCAGCCACCTGGGTTTACTGCTCAGGGGGAGTCTGGTAAGAGTGTTTGTCGGTTAAAAAAATCTTTGTATGGTTCAAAGCAGTCACCGAGGGCATGGTTTGGTAAGTTTTCAGATGCAGTTTTAGAGTTTGGTCTTCTTCGATGTCAAACAGATCATTCTGTGTTTCATAGGCAGACAGATGCTGGGTATGTCCTATTGGTGGTCTATGTTGATGATATTGTGATTACTGAAAATGATTCTGAGGGGATTGCCAAGTTAAAATTATTTTTACAGGATCGATTTCATACTAAGGATTTGGAAAAACTTCGGTATTTCTTGGGCATTGAGGTAGCTCGATCTAAACAGGGTATTTGTTTATCTCAGAGAAAATATGTACTTGACATGCTCAAGGAAGCAGGTTTGCTGGGTGGTAGACCGATTGATGTCCCTATGGATTCGAATCAGAAATTATTGATGGATGATGGTGTATTATTTGAAAATCTGGGTCGGTATCGCAGATTGGTTGGGAAGCTTAATTATCTCACTATTACTCGACCGGATATTTCCTATGCAGTCAGTATAGTAAGTCAGTTCATGGGATGTCCTAGAGTACCACATTGGGAGGCAGTTACTCGTATTCTGCGATATCTCAAACGAGCTCCAGGACTTGGACTGTTATATCGAGCTAATGGACATCTTAGAGTGGAAGGTTTCTCAGATGCTGATTGGGCTGGATCTCCTTCTGATCGGAGATCAACCACTGGTTATTGTACTTTTCTAGGAGGTAATGTTGTCTCATGGAAAAGTAAGAAACAACCCGTGGTAGCAAGATCCAGTGCTGAGGCTGAGTATAGGGCAATGGCACATATGATAAGTGAGTTGACTTGGCTATTATACTTCCTCTAGGAAATTGATTTTTTAGTTTAACTTCTTTTACAGTTGTTCTGTAACAACCAGGCAGCTATCCATATTGCTGTCAATCCTGCGTTTCATGAAAGAACTAAGTATATTGAGGTTGACTGTCACTTTATTGGGGACAAGATAGTAGCCGGGGAGATTACAACTCCTTTTGTGAAATCTAAAGATCAGCTTGCAGATATGTTTACCAAAGCATTGAGTCGTACGCGTCTTACAACTATTTGTTCCAAGCTTGGATTATATGATATATATAGTCCAACTTGAGGGGGAGTGTTAAGAATAATAGAGTAGTAGTATGTGTAAATTGTTAATAGTAAAAGGGATGTATGTGTTATTATTATTATTGTAAGTTAGCTATAAATACAAGTTATGTATGAGAGTTAGGTTAAGTTTTCTAACCTCTCTCTTTCTCCCTAATATTGCCTCTAATATTGTGATATATTCATTCTCTTAACTTAACACAGTTAAATGAACATGCTTTCTTTTCATGGTACTTATAATCATGTAGAAACCATTTCAATTGGTCAGATTATGATTCCTTGTGAAATAGTGCACTTATTCAAGTTCCTATGTTGGTGGGTGGAGTTCTGGTTTAGAAATGAGATGATCAAGGTCAAAAGTGAAACAGGAGTTGTAGAATATTGAGTTGTGATAGTTAATTTAGTTAGTTGTGAGATATTTGAAAAGGAGACCTGGAAAGGATCATAACATTTGACTCTATAAAATTGGCTCAATGCTGGATCAGCCGAATCCGGAAGCTAAAGGTAACTGAATGGAATAGAGAGAACAGCCATATTTTTCTCTCGTAGATGCTACCTAGTTAGTGTCATGGTGCGAAAACCTCCACTTAAGTGCCTTGCCAAAAATTGCTTTGTGTTTTCCATCTCATCTTGCTGTTCTTCCTCGTCAGTTTTCGTTTAGTTGTGCAACCACATTGTGACTTCTTGTTTATTGTTTTTTGTCCAAATCGTGCCTTGACAACTCCACCCATTTCAGGGTGTATGTTGATGTCAAGTGTTCCTAAAAAAAACTGACTGATTGTTGTCAGTGCATTTTTGGGCATGATTGGGGAGAAATACATAGAAAAGGTTATTATAGAAAATTTGAAAGCAAATGAAACAGTATTACCAGATTTGCCGTATGAATTCTTCTACAAAAACATTTCTATGTACATCAATACGTCTTTGTGCGTCAACTACCTTCAATTGGTAATGACTAATGATGATCAGAGGTAATGGCATTATTCAAGCTAGGAGATTGTACAAATCTTCTGCCCAAAGGCATCTATTCTTTTATAATATTGATATTGCAATGCACAATGGTTTTATTATGTATACAATGCTAGTCTGCATTTTGTGCCAAAGTGGTCTATAGTCCAATCATTGACCATGATATCTGTTTGAGGGTTTATGAAACTTTTACCTTTTGTAATATTAGTGTTTTAGTTGTTTTTTTTTTTTCGGATTCAGCTATTATTTTCTGGTGTGGAATAGCCTCTCCGCATGCAATGGGAAGGCTGCATACATGTGACCCACCCTAGACTCTACAGTGGCGAGAGCCTTGTGCACTGAGCCGTCCTTTTTTTGGCTATCATTTTTTGGTAGTAAAAGTTTGAATCTCACTTTTAAGTTCCTTAATGCAGGTCATCATTATTGGATCCTTCCTCTGTGATCGATCAGATTGTGCATGGACATGTATGTTTGGTGACATTGAGGTTCCTCTTCAGATTATTCAAGAAGGTGTTATCTGTTGCCAAGCTCCTCCTCACTCAGTTGGAAAAGTCACTCTTTGCATTACATCTGGCAATCGGGAGTCCTGTAGCGAAGTCAGGTGGTTTGAATACCGCGATAAGCCAAGTAGTTCTGCACACAGTTATTTTCCAGGAACAGAGCCGAGTAAGAGTCCAGAAGAATTGTTGTTGCTTGTCAGATTTGTGCAGATGTTACTATCTGATCCATCAAGGCAGAAAAGAGAAAAAACTGAACCAGGGATTGATTTATTTGGGAAGTTCAAAGCTGGCGAAGATTCATGGGGCCAAGTCATTGAGGCAATTTTAGTTGGCGCATTGACAACATCTAGCACAATGGATTGGCTGCTGCAGGAAACTCTGAAAGAAAAATTGCAACATTGGCTTTCTACTAGATCACAGGAAGGTAGTGACCAACCAGGCTGTTCCTTGTCCAAAAAAGAACAAGGAATAATACATATGATTGCTGGATTAGGTTTTGAGTGGGCATTGAACCCGATTCTCAATTCTGGAATCAGCATTGACTTCCGTGACATTAATGGGTGGACTGCCCTACATTGGGCTGCACGATTTGGAAGGTAATGGATTTGGCTGGTGACATGCATTTTATAGATTCATGTACGCTTTATATAGAATTAAGATCATTTTAGCATTTTGGTCATTAGTTTTATGATTGGGAAACAGATATTTACTTGTCAAAATCTTCCTAAAATATTGACGCCTTAAGTAGATTAGTTTTATTGATTGACTAAGAGAAAATGCGGATAAAGTTTGTTTTTATCAGTTGAACAAATATTATAAAACTCATCATAGTTGATTATCTTGGCATATGTAGACTACTTCAGTATTAAAAAGCATGGGTTAACAACAGCAAGTTTATGGTTTGAATCTTAGGATAGTTACTTTGTGCAAATAATCTGTGTTCAGTCATTTCTAGATATAAAGCTTCACAATTATTTTTTCACTTCTTTGTGATTGCTTGATGAATTTCTGGATATAGTGCATAAAATTATATTTTGTACAACATTCTTTGGGCTCCTTATATCTTGGATGAGTAAGAACCTAGCTGTATGTTTATATTCATTGATTCTACTTGGTTTGTGCTAGTAGTCCCAAGTAGACTACTATAACAAATACCTCCGTTCTATATCAGGGCTGGAAAGCTTAAAAGTTTTCTGAATGGTGGATCTAAAATGCTCTTTTAACAGGGAAACGATTGTAGCTGGGCTCATCGCATCTGGTGCATCAGCCTGCGCAGTTACAGATCCTACTTCACAGGACCCAACAGGTAAAACCCCAGCATCCATTGCTGCCACCTGTGGACGCAAGGGACTTGCCGGATATCTTTCAGAGGTGGCACTAACTAGCCATCTTTCATCACTCACGGTGGAAGAAAGTGAGCTCTCTAAAGGTTCAGCTGATGTGGAAGCAGAAAAAACAGTCAATAGAATCTCAAATGGGAGTCTAGCTACAGATGCGGATCAGCTTTATCTTAAAGACACCTTAGCTGCTGTCCGCAATGCAGCTCAGGCTGCAGCACGCATACAATCTGCTTTTCGTGCGCATTCTTTCAGAAGGCGGCAACAGAGAGAAACTTCTGCAGCTGCTGATGCTGATGCTAGTGGAGATGAGTACAGTATCCTCTTAAATGATGCACGAGCACTTTCAGCTGCATCAAAATTGGCATTCCCCCATGCACGTGATTGCAATGCAGCTGCTTTATCAATCCAGAAGAAATACCGGGGTTGGAAAGGTCGGAAGGAATTTCTTGCATTTCGGCAGAAAGTCGTGAAGATACAGGTGCCTGCTTCTTCCAGGGAAATCCCCCCCCCCCAAAAAAATAAAATAAATAAATAAATAAAATAAAATAAAAACCCACCTTTCTCTTATGAACTTCTTAACATTTCGATGGTCCTTATTTTGAGAAGCATTTATGCAATCTTCATTTGGAAAATGTGCAATGTGATTGACTATTAACCATTTAAGGTATGCAGAACTTTCCCTATCTTCTAGAAAAATCATGTTGTAAGTGGCATTTCACCTCGTTAAAGCAATAAGATAAATGCCGATTTTCTTTAAGTATTCACTGACACAGACACGTGCAATCACCTGGCTCAATGGATTAGCCAATTGGAAATGGCAGGCTAAACTGTAACTTGCATCAGACAAGCAAGAGACATGCATACTAAAACCCTTACCTTTGTTTTTGTACATTCAGCTTCTAATTGAATAAGTCAAAGGTATAGAACGCAATTTGATTCAGATGCTTGTTTTGGCAGGCTCATGTCAGAGGCCATCAAGTTAGGAAGAATTATAAGGTGATCTGTTGGGCCGTTGGTATCCTGGAGAAGGTTGTACTAAGGTGGCGTCGGAAAGGAGCTGGTTTGCGGGGATTTCGGCATGAATCAGAATCCATTGTTGAAAGTGAAGATGAAGACATTCTTAAGGTTTTCCGGAAGCAGAAAGTGGATGCAGCTATCAATGAGGCTGTCTCAAGAGTGCTGTCTATGGTTGAGTCTGAAGAGGCACGTCAGCAATATCGTCGCATGCTTGAAAGATATCACCAAGCTAAGGTATTAACACATCATGTCTTCATATTAACATGAGGCATGTTAATTCAGACACTGTCTGATCCATCAAGTCCATAATATGGGTTTCCTATCTCGGCAGCTCGGCCGCGCCTTTTTCACAGCATGTGTTCCAAGAAATGTGCATGCCTAAACTTGCTAATAAAGAAACTAAAAAGGGTGTCACCAAAACAAACCAAACATGCAACAGATACATGTCTACATATAGCAGTTGTTGTAAGCAAATGAGAAGCAAGAAGGTATTATCATCATATACAGTAGAATTGTTGCATGTAATTTGTTGAGTTCAGCCTTTAAAGTTATACGATTGGAAGTGTAGAAATATAGATAAATTGATGAGATTGCAAATATTTGTGTGCGGTGACAAAATGTCAACCTCGACACTGGATGCCTGTTGTATTGGGGGACAATGTAGTTTCATCTAAGCCAAAACCTTGGTGTTTATTGTCCAAAAGTTAAATCATTTTTATCTACTCTTCAAAATGTATTTGGGGATCCCCATTTGAATGTATGATCACTGAGTAAATACAGTATACCGAGTTGATTCTGGGCCTGAATCTTTCGTGGATGGGATCCATCCCTACTGCAAGTTGGCCATCATGTAATTCATATCACTCTATCAATTGATTTGCAGGCAGAACTTGATGGCACAGAAAGTGAAGCACCATCGCCTTCTCAAGCTGACATATGGAATATGGATAATGATGATTACACATACCTGTTTCGCTAGATGCAACTGCTAATCCTCTTTTAACTTTAAATTTGATAGTAGACCAATTTTAAGCATTGGGTGACTTTTTCAGTTCCAGTCTATGTTATGGTTTATATTTCATAGAAGTTGTAAATGATACGGATTGATTACTGCCTGTGCTCATGTATTGATTCTGTAAATGCTGCTTGTAATATATGTAAATGGTGATTAATGAGGTTGCCAAGGCTTAATCTGCGTTGGTGCAGTGATTCTGTGTACATGGATATATTGTTTTTTATGCCGGCTTTTCTTTTACAAAGAATTAATCTCTTTCCTTTGCATCTACAATGGTCAACTCTAGAGTCAATTTCCTACCAAACGTTACGAACGGCATGACCATCTTACAAAAATTACGAACTCTAGTGTAAGACTAGAAACAGTTGGGCTTATTTCTTTCTGTTGTATGGGCATGACCATAGCTTGCTTCTTACAGTATTGTATCCTTCCTTCTATTGTATTGGCTTATTTCTTTCTATTTTCGTCTGTGTGTGGCGGAAATGACTACTCATCCAGGCGTGTTTTGAGAATGTAAACCTGTTAAGTGCTTTACTCGTTCGATTTGCCATTCCTCTGTGAGCCCAAATAGGTATAAGGGCTCAATTTCGGCCCGGTTTCTGTATGAATTTGCTGCAATTGTGGCATGGTAACCTGACTTCATCGTTAGTATCTGTAATTATCAAATGGGCCTTTAGCAGTCACTTTTATCGTGTGCACAAAATCAATATGACAGGCCTGATGACCTTTATCAGCTAGGAGGGATGTTAATTTTATCCGTTAACACGAATTTGACACAAACTTGATCTAACTCAAAACTTAAAAATAATATAATTAATTAACACGAGTAATAAATAAATAATATTAAATTTTGACACGAATAACACGATATGGACAGAGTTATGAAAGACAAAGGTGTGGAATCTTTTTGTGTCAAAATATAATCCAAAAAAAGCTAAGTAATACTATTTGAACTTAAAATTTTGACCTAATTTATTGATATAACGATGTGATTTCATAGGAATTATTGGATCAATATCAAATTTCAATATTTGATGAGATCTACAGTAAATCTAAAAGTAATAATGAATTAGATCAATAAATTATGTTAATAAATTAAATTCTAAGAACATTGCTCAAAAGCTATTAGAATGAGTCTAAAGATTTGGTTCTTTAAAAAGTTAACGTTATTGAAGGTAAATAGCTCAAAACATTTCAGTACAAGTAAAAGAAAATAAGCTCAATCTATGTATTTTTATCCTTTAACAAAAAAGAAAAAAAAAGGTACCCTTGAACACACACCACTTTTGCACTTGTTATTGACGCTGGTACTAGTTTTTTCGATGAACCCAATCAATGAGTAATGCTAGATTGATCAAATTTTAGGATTAAATTTAGAGTTCAAATGACATGACAGTTGACTTAAGCTTATTTGATTGGTGTCATGTTATTTGAATTTCAATAAAAATTTTAAATAATCAATTATCATGTCATTTAAATTTTAAATTTAATTTCAAAATTTAGTCCATCTAACATTACTGCCTAATCAATTATTAGGCCACGATAGCACCGGAAAAAAAAAAAGTATTAGGCCGCGATAGCGTAACAAGCACCACATGGCAACAGATATATGGTTAGGCTTTTTTTTTTTTGGATTAATATGGTTAGGCTTTGACGGTTAGATTGTGTAGCGTTTTGACTTCCGAATCCCTCGGTCCCATGGATCTCTTGCTCCTCATATAATGATAGAAACTCTCTTCGGAGACGGAGGGAGGGAGAGAGAGAGAGTGTGTGTGTGTGAAATGGAGACATCGAAGGATAAGATGGAGCTAGTACAGACAGTCATAAAGCAACTAATGGAGGACGAGAAAAAAGGGAACAAAAATGGGTCCTCATCATCCGATGAGAGCACCTTGGTCGCTGTCGATGACGATGAAGGTCACCACCATCTCCTCTCCAAATTGCTCTCTCAGGTAACTCATATAACAACAACAATCGTTAACGATTATTAGGGATTTGCAAGTAGGATCTAACGTAACAGTATTTAGGTCTGTCAATTTATAAAAACAATTGATCTGATACAAATTGAGAAACTCAAATTTAAACGATGATAAAATATGACTATTGAATTTTTCAAAGAGGATAAAATTTGATCATTAAAGATTTAAGTAAAAAATTGATTTAAGTCTCTGCTCATTTTCACTTTTCAGTACGAGTTTGAGTCAAAACTAATCACTGGGACTTGTTTTTAGCTGTTTTGACTTAAATTTAAAATTGATACAGGAGATTTGAGTAAGGATTGAAGATGTTTTAATAGTATTAGTTTGTTTTTATTCAAATTTAAATGTGAGTCAAATTTGAGTAAGAATTGGTAATGCTCTTTGATTTGTTTTCTTCTGTGGCTACTAAAATGGGTTTGAATTCCAAGACTATAGCATTTTTCCCGTGTTTGTGTGTATGCTATGCCTGGAAGGTTGGTATGTTTTTTTTTTACCACCACGGGCTTAGCTCGGTGGCTAGCCCCTCTCCTCGCCTTGCAGTAGGGAGGTCAAGGGTTCGATCTGATAGGACTTTTGTCTCACATTAGTGTAATATCTTCTATTTTGCTTATACAGATCTTTTTGGTGTCTCCTTCCATCACCTATTAGTTTTGCGTTACATATGGTATGATAACTGAATTTTGGGAGGATTTGGACAAAACTCTTATGTTTACTGTTTCTGATTTGGAATTTAGTTCCCTGTATGTTTATGGGGTATGTTTATCTCTCCACATGCAGTTGTGAATCACACAGGATGTGAGAGTTTGTGAAATGCTAAACATTATAGGTGGGGAGTTGAAGAGGTTGACACACGTACAAAACCAAATATATTCGAAGAGATGAGTATGATGGATGAATTGGATGAAAAGACTCGAGCTGTCTATCCACTGTCGGGAGTGACCAGTAGATAAAAGATTTCTTGGGTAGGTGAAGTTGGTGAATATATTTGCACCAGCCAGAAAGTCTATTTCAGACAGGATAGTTGTATGTACTGTAGGAATAAGTGATGAAAGTAGTTATAGTACAGGTACTCAGGCGGGCAACACTGCCCTATGGGCTGCCTGCACATACTCTGTATGTGGGTCAATTCTGTACGTGGTAGTTGTGCCTACCTGCAATTATCTCAACTATAGCTTATACTGATGGCCACTCACCGCGCGCCAAGTATCCCAAGCATTAGTTAGGTAGATATGAAATATCCTCATATTCAGTCTGGACTCATCCCTTGAGGAAGGGGCACATCTTTCGAGCCAAGGGGGCACACTGGAGGCGAAGGGTCGCGACGACTCACCGCGGGATTATCATGTTCACAATGCCTCTAGTGTACAAAATGTAGAAGAAGGTCATTAGTCCTTGTAGTCAGAAACCTCAATGTGTACCCAAGGGTCTTTCCTTCCCTTTAGAATTCCCTTCTGAGGCTTTTTGTCGAGCAATCAGGGATACTCGCATAGTTTTGGTCTTTTAGCCCTCAATCCACATGTGCCATCATTTCATATGTTGACCTAGACCATTAACCTCCTGTAACTTAGGAGTCCTTTGAGATCCTTGTCAAGCAGAACCGTGAGCAGTGAGTCATCCACTATGAGGCTTTCTTGAGCAAATTAAACTTTTAAGAACTTACCTGAGGCCGAGGTTAACAATCATGCTCATCCTCCTCAGTTGCCCAATTCTCCTTTGAGAAGCACTATTTTTTCCTGTCCCAAAATGGGGGGCCCTTCTCTTGGTCCCTTGGGTCAGGTGAGTAACAGTATAACATTGGTTGACTTTACCACTGCGGGCATCCAATGGGTTATATAGGTTCTCTCAAGTAGACTTGTTTGGAGAGTACCCCTTGAGGATTTGCTAGGGATACCATTTTTTACCATTTGCAGGGTCCCAACCACATCCCTTTCTTTCAATAGTGGGGAGGTGGGTTAGGCTGATCACACTAAGGTTGCCTCGTACTTCTACGGTGGCATTCTTTTCCCTTTTTAATCAAAGGGTTTTTTTGTCGCTTCCACTATGAGGAGGGTGCATTTGGTGCGTCTGTTATTCCGTGGTACCGCAGCTCTTGTAATTTGAGGGGGCCCATCCTGCCACATCAGCCAGTGGTTTCCTTTTGCTTTGCCACGTGTTCCTCTGTGGTGTGTACACAACTACACATGTTCTGATTTTACAGGCTACTTCACACATCAATATAGTATCACCCCCAAAAAGTGCAGCCTTTCCATTGCAAGTGTATTTGAGTTAGATGTTTAGCATGTCTCTCCTAAGATGTAATCTGTGAAAGTAATGGTCAATTTTTGCCATTCTAAGACCCGAGTTCAACCCTTATAATCCCTCAGCAACTCCTATTTGCTGATAGATGAGATGTTTTAGAAGGGAAAAGGCTATTGCTTTCTGGTAGAACCAAAGAAAAAATTTGCATTTTCAGGCAACGCATCTGTTTTGTTTGTTTTGTTGCCATCATTTTCACCGGCACACCCTTTTTCATTCTGCATCTCTACTTAACCAGAACCTGCAACCACTGAAGATATTATGGTATAACCACGACCACTTCCATAATAGTTGGTCTTGTTAGCAATTACACTACTGGAACTGAGTTAACCGACATTTTTTCTGCGGCCATCACTTCCACATTGATTTTTCATCATCCACACGAATGTCACAGTTGATTCACCTCATAACTGCCCCCATAGCCGTTGCCTTCCAAAACAATTCTGGTTGTTGTTTTCGTCTTCCTTTTTTCTGAGATCTTGTTATAATGAAATATGGTTATTCAATTTTGTTTGAAACATAACTGTAGACTTACTAATGTCCCTTTAATCATTTGTATAACAGTTGGAAACATTGAGAGATGACGAACTTAAGCAGCATGAACCATCAACTAAACCAGAGGAGATACCTTTCCTTTCTATTTGTGAACAGGAGCCCAAGAGTGAGACTGCCACTGAGGTGGATGGTGGTGATTCTAAGATCGAAAGGGAAGATATAGTCAAGGAGCTTAGGAAGATTAAGAGACAAAATTTCATAACTCAATGCCTTCTTTCGGCCATGATTGTCCTCACTGTTGCATGGCAACTATCTGAGGTCTCTCTCATTTTGAAAGTGAAAAATGGATTGAGCAACCCATTGAGGTCATTCAGAAGCATGCTTGCAGGGATGCTAAAAGGCCCAAATGTGAATGGCCAGACAGGGGACACACTGTCCACTGTGAAGCCAAAGCTTGTTGAAGGCTCAACACTACCCGCTCTCAGAATTCCAGAACTGCCCCATCTGGAATTGCCTGTTTCGGATTTCAAAGATAATGATGAGTGAGCTAATCGCATCTTATTGTGTTTGAAATGAAAGCAGTGTGGGAAGGTAAAGAAATGGGCAAAAGCTGTGTGATTGTGTCTCCTCTATTGATCATTTCCTCTGCGTTTTACCATGTTGTACAGAAGAACGGAATAGATATCTACTGTGCTGTACAAAGCTTTGTGGAAGAGTTCACAGAATATTGGATGAAGAGGTGTTTTCTTTTCTTTCAAGAGCCCATTGCCAGTTGTTTCGTTATTCTAATACGAGCGCCAGGTGACCCATAACATTTTTCACAGTTTTTGTCACAAAATTTGAACTCAATTGTGGTTGGATGGCATTCAACCTGAATGCTCATGAATTCTGTCGACACAAGCTTGAATAAGATCTAATCTTGCTATTTGAAGTCAACTCAATCTTGGTTTGTCACACCCCAAGCTCAATTTGATTTCGACTTACTTACAGCCAGAGTTCTTGGGTATGCTGAAAAGACTAGATGTGGACATACCATTTCCGATTTTAAAAAAGATAATTAAGCTTCTAAGGAAATAAATCATCTTTTTTAACCCGTGGACCGTGGTGGCTGCTTTTGTACCTCGGTGCTGCACGAACTCAGTTCACCAAAAACTTTTCCCCCAAATGCAACCCAAAATGTGCTACCGAAAAACACAAAATGTTGCCAAAAAAACAAATCATTGCCAAATACTATACCACTGACATATAGCACGTGATAGAGGCGTGTTCATAATGACAATTAACACAATCACTAACCCCATCATCTTCACTGTGACGCGAAGAATCAAATTCATGATACAAAAACACCTGCCAAGAAAAAAAAAATTCATTATACAAAAATGGGTGGGCCAAGTCTAGCCATCAAAGTAATTATCATCCATAAAGTCACGAAATTTTGATCTCAAAATTCATTAACTGAAATCTGCCAAAACCCATTGACCATAACATTCAAAAAAACCACACCAAATAAGAGGACACATCTTGCATCAAACCGTTCAATCACAACAATGCAATCTCAGTTACAGAGACTGAAGAATAAAAGGCACAGTAAATCATTAACGCATAACTAATCCAAAAACACCTACCATCCACACTTTAATAGTCTGAAACTAAATAGATCAACATAGTTTGTTTCAGGGCATTCAAGCGACAAGTATACCCCACCCCTTTTGCAATGGGGCAGTCCATCTTGTTCAAGCATAGTTCAGCCGGAAAATGTCGTTGAACACATAAAAGCTGTTCTGTGGTGTTGGCATCAAATGGAACATCTGGGGGGAAAAGGATAACAAGAAGTTTCAATGAGAATGGCAGAAACAATAAACAAGCACAACCAGTCAACAAAAATTTGGGGAAAAAAAAAATTCAATCCCAAACAAGTCTACTTAAGAAAGGAATGTAAATCATATACAGTCAGTCATCTTGCTTCAATGGAGAGACATACTACCAAATACTACACCACTGCAAACAAGAAGACCAGAAATCCATTACACTAGTGCTAGAACTGCAAACCAGTTAAGAGAGGGCATTCTCTTGTATTTGATTATTTTATTCACATTCAATTGCTGAAGAAATAGTATAAAATTTGATGGTAATAGCATCAATGAGAGTTTAGCATCTGTCAAACAGAAAATTTGTGAGGCATTCGAAAATAATCAGACAGAGCATCATGAAAAGCCAGATATATATTTTATTGACTTGATAATAACCAGTGGAATCATTTGCAGCCAGATAGTCCATTTGATAGTTAAGAATTAGTCGCGATGGTAATATTTTTCATTGCTCATTTTCAAATACTTTATTTTCCATTCCAATTCTTCAAAGTTGATGAGAGACATGATTCAGTCATTATCCTATAGCAATTAAGAAGGTATTAGTTGGCAGTTTAACAAAGTATCACCAAAATTAACAACCAATCTTGCCTATGCCACTTGCATGAAGGTCTACACAGACCATCGGAGATGATATCTTTCATGATGCAGATTGGTTCAGAGAACACTAATGAAAACATTGGTCCTGAGGACACAACCATAGAGTCATAGACTGCACCTTTCAGTTTAGAATCAAAGCCAGACTAATCATTATTGACAAATGGTTCCACTGTCAATAGTATAACCGAATGGAAGTAAGAGGATTTTAAATAGGGTTAATGGGAAGGTATAGTGCAATATTCAAACCTAATGTCAACTTTGCAATTTTTTAAGGGGAATATGAAGCATCTACATGGATGAAAAGCACCATAAACCATACCTACTTAATCAAGTTTTGCATAAGACTACATATGATCATATGAAAACATATAGGGAGTAAAATACTAGGAATAAAAAGTGTGTATTCAGGTGACCAATGTCTTAACAATTTACTTAAAGATGTGTATCGGGGGAAAGGGACATATGTGAATGAGAAAATGTCTATCACTAGTGGAGGCTTAATAATTACTAGAAGAAATAATAGAACAAGCTTGCTTTCACATCAAGTGCAGATCAGCATGTTATGTTCTATGAACTGCACTATAAGTATTGACCAAAATATCACCACCATCAACATGCTTACAACATTATTCTGTCTCTCACACTAGCTAGAATTTACTCACAAACTTAGGGTGTGTATTCTCGGCACACACAATCATATCTCACCACTATCAACAAGCAATCACTATTAGTTTCATTAAAAAAAGCAGCATATTAATATGACTTTTGGAATTGAAAGCGACACAGAAATGGTGAGATGTAGTAGTAAAACAAAAGGTGGCGCCATAAACACTATCAATCAAGTTTATTAAGATAAAACAATGAATTTCTGTACTAGTAAAACAATCAATAGTTTTACAGAGATGCCTAGAAGCAACAAAGGGATTAGCCTCTCAAGATCGCACGATATATATGGCTCAACAATTGAAGGATCCTTAAAATCAGTGCATATTATACATTGAGAATGCTAAATTTACCAACAAAGCGGTAACTAGCATGCTACTACGACTCCATTAGATCTTGGAAGGAACTAGGGGAAGCAAATGAAAATGCTCAAAAAGAACTTCGCAATTTAACCATTTTCTTTCCCTCCCCAGCTTCTTTGTAAGATTCAAATGAACTCTATTCAAACATACACATATTGATGTTGCTAGCAAATCAGTGGCAGAAACCCCTGAAATCCCACCAAATTCAACTAATCCCCCAATAATCGCATCCATCAAAACAGAACTCTTATAATCAAACACATATGCACAAAAAAGGAAATAGAAAAGGTTCCGAGTTATAAGTAAATATACCTGGCTGAATTTGAGGGCATGCGGTTCGCCGGCGAGTTGGAGGTTCCCGGAGACGAAGACGAGCATGCCGCCGGCGGGGCCAGAGGGCTGGCAATCGACGGTGGTGATGCTGTGCTGACACTGCTGGAAAGGGAGACTAGTGAGCTTAGCAACGATGTTCTGAGAGCCTTGGATCTTCTGACCTTCGAAGGTCAGCATCGACGACTCCTGATACAGGTTCGCCAGTCCCGCCCTGTTCGCATCGAACGTCGTGTAGTAGTGCTCCACGAACGCCTTGGCCACCGCGTCTGGATCCATCACGGCCGCACCGGATTACGGCTCTTTCTCTCTGCTGATTTTACTTGGCTTACGATCTACGCCACACAGAGAGGCGCCACAGAGAGAGACAGCGATGAGAGCGAACGCAATGAGGAGGGAGAAGTTTTGTATGTCAGCCAAGGGTAAATATGGCAAAGTAGGCAATATAGGGTCTAAAATGGTCACCGTAGATTCTAAAATTTATTAGGACTTACTATTAATTTAATAATTATAATTAATTAGTCGATCTAAAATAATTTGATATATATTGTTTAATAAAATTAAAAACTGAGTAATAAAAATTACAGTAAATATTAAATTTTAAGTGTTAAATGCTGAATTTTTAATTCGTTAACTGTTTGATACCCATTAAACTTTATGTACTTAACTAAACCAAAATATTTGATAAATACACAGAATTGATGTTTGAAAATAACTTAATTTTTAATTTTATTCTTCCACTTTTTACTTTAAAAATTTATAAAATATATATTTATCTAACAAAAAATCACTACAAATAATTCATAATATAAATCATAATCACTATAATCGTATTATAGTTTATATTTAATAAATATGACAATAAAATTAATTTAAATAAAATTAATGACTTAAAACTATCAATTATCATAAATTTACCCTTTTGTCATCCTTACATAACTACTCCCTCCGCTCCTGAATATCTATCGTTTTACATAATTTTTTTTGTTTCAAAATATTTATCGTTTAATAAAATCAAAGTATAATTAATATTTTTTCTTCTAAATTTATTCTTATCTATGTTTTTCAATAAGTACTTAATAAATTAAGTGTAAGTTAAGTATTTTTCATATTCTTTTCATTCTCGATATTTATTGAATAAATATATTTTAGTCTTGTGCAATTATTTTTTACTCATCAAAAAAAAAAAAATACCCCTTCCCCCAAAACGAGTGCTGCACAACCCAAGCACTCTTGTGTTGAGAGTGATTGTCAAGTGGTTATTAAACTTTCCTCAACTGAAATGCCCTCCCTCGAGAAATCAATGCTTTAATGCAAATATCAAACTTTTTGCCAGTCAACTTCATCTTAATTTTTTATACAAGTCAAGAGCCTTTAATAGGACTGTTCACTAGTTATCGTAGTTATAATGGCTAATTCACTTGCTACGAATTGGGTCAGTTGCTCTCCCCAAAGGGTTTAAGGTTTTACTTCCTATTATTTGTAATCAGAATTTTTCCACGTGAATGATATTTCACTCTCTTTTTTATCAAAAAAAAAAATTAGAAAAACCTCCACAAACACCGTCGTTTTAACCGAATAGCAGGTTTTACTGTTCTTTCGGAAAAGCAGAGGATCCGCATCCGCAATGTATGTGTAATGTGTGTTGCGAGAGCCTGTGTAAGTGTGAGTGTGTGTAAATTTACGTGTCCTGTGTGTGCTTTTGTGTGTTTATGGATCGGCCCGTACTTTCACATGGAAATCCACTATGGTCTGCGTTGGGTTATGGGTCGTTATTAACGTAAATGTTGGATCGTTAAAACCAAGCCAGTTAGCAGAACGTAGACCGTTTGTCTTTGGGTGGGCTTGACAGCCTATTCCCCTGGCAGACACGGGCCCCATTATTTTTGGACTCTCTAGTGTCTAGTTTCAACTTCAATACTCTCTCCTCCATCGACCTTAATGGTATGTGATTTGGCAGTTGGAATAATTCAGAAAATATTTACCGAACAGTTGCATTATGTAAAAAATTTTACGCAGTGTTACTGGCTAATAAAAAACTTACCAAATAAATAAAGTAAAATCCACTATTTTAATGTGGGCTAGTTATCTATAATATAAAATAAAATAAGTTTCAATAAGTTCATCCGACAATTTTAAATAGATTTATCTAACGACCACCAATATCAACTCAAAAACTATTTACTTTGAATTTCTCCCTCTCCTCCCCTCCCCTCAAATTTATTACTTCTCACTTACAGTACTTTCAAACACTAGTTACCTATAGTTTTTATACATGGATGGACGGTTATCAAATTTAGAGAGGTTTATTTGCTTGCTTGTTTATTTATTTTTGAATTGTTACATTACATTGCATTACTTATGTGTAGAAACCATGTTTATTTTTTTATTTTAGAATAATATCTTATAAACTAATAATATGAAAAAAGACACGTGCTTGAAATATCCAACTTGATAGACTGGGAGTAGCTCTAGGTCACTTGCTCACCATCCTCCCCCTCCCCTAACCTTGAAGTTTGGCAGAGTCCCGACTGATTTTGACTAGTTCCAACTCAACTACCACTTCCATTTAGCTAACTAGACTAGGTCAAACAAATAAAACACAACTAACTCAGTTCAAATACACAGAACAAGATTTGCTAAGGGCATGACCAAATGGTCTATAAGAGAAGAAGAGTTTATAGTGGTAATCGAGGTTGGTGAACCTAACGCTAGTACAAGATATTTCTATTTCTTCAATTCCTCCTCTCTGATTTTGTGATTGAAGGGTCAACCCCCAAGCTCACCACCATGTCCGGAGTTCAGTGAGCATTTAAATCACTATTATTAACAATTAAAAATTATTTAAATTAAAATTAACGATTATTTTTTAACTTGATAATTTTGCAGTACCATAACCTTTACCCATTCTATTAGTATGAAGGGGTCAAAAGCAGCGTTCATTTAAAATGGGTCAACAAGGCGTAGCGTAGGTTGGGTGGCCATAATTCTTTTAATTTGACCAATATCAATTGGATTTGCCAGCAATCAAACACCACCGCACGTACGCGTTAATGTGTATTCCTGTATTAACTTGCCAACTACTCTGCCACATTAAATTCAATTTCTCCATTGGGTGACGCTGCAGAAGAAATTACACGCTGTGGCATGCACGTTGATAATAAAAATTTGAATAATGTTATTTAGATTTTAAATTTTGATTTTATTTATTAACTTAATTTATTATAAATTTTGAATTGATTGTGAATTCTATTAAACATTAAAACATACTTTTTATTCAATAATTTTAATGAAATCTGATGAGCCTAAAATCAACTGGATCAGACCCAATAAATTAACTGAGCCTAAGTCAACTAAAAGGTAGTCCAAGCCCACTTCACATATCCGACCTAGTCCAAGACCCAAGAAATCCGAGAAGATAGGAGCACATAGGAGAGAGAATATTAGGATATACACTCATAAAGATCAAATCCTATCATAATTGTACTTACCAAATAAGTAGCATTCTCTCACTGCCTCAACAAACCTATATATTATAAGTTCTCTTCACATAGAGAGACGTCTCATCACATCTCTTCCAACACACATCTCTACACATAAAGTTTCACCTCTCTACACCTCTTATAGACATAACTTTTCTCTTTTAGCTAGTGTAACTCTCTTGGAGTTCTCTTCCAGTTACTTTATTTATCAATAAAGATTTCTGTTGTTTTTCGAGAGTAGAGTAGGTCACCCAAATTGAATCACTATATATCTGCATGTTTGCTTATTTTTACTGGTTTGTCATTAATTATCCTATTTATTGTCCACCAACTACATCTCTTCATATAGTTGAATGTTGATGTCGCACGAGACTAATTTGCATATCATCAAATAAATAAATAAAATCAAAAATTTAATTTTAATAGCATTATTCTAAAATTTTCCTCATCACGATGCGGATCTACTAAAGAAAACAATGGATATGTTTAAAGTGAAAGCAACTACCAAGGAAGTTAGTATGCTCTAATTTAATTGATTACTTTAATTCTTTTGAAATTCTACCAATGGAAATGTAAACGTGTCTATTCTTGAAAAAGTCACATACTATTTTTCATATCTCATCCCTGAGGTTCTAACTATTCATTCATTTTTCCATATACTATTTGAAAATTGCCTTTGGTAAAACATATACTAAAATATAACATATATACATACATTCATACATATAATATGTGGGTATAGTACTTTTAATTATATTTATTAAAAAAAAGAGGATAAAATATGTCACATCAATATGCCAACTGTCCATTTTTTTATTTTTCGAGTAATATTAGACAGACAGAATAGAAAAAAAGATTAAACATAAGGATTAATTTTTTTTTAAATATTTAAAAATAGGAACATATATGCCATGATAAATTTGATTATGCAATTTTTTTTTAAAAAATTAATCAGTGGCGGAACTTGTTGCTCAACTCCAAAACGGACAAAGCTAATCACCGCTCGAAAAAGGTTTGACTTTTATTATTCCGGATCGTGGCGGGCAGGCAAGACTGTTTCTCACAAATTTAGCAACCAATCATTGCGCGACACGTCCTCAAGTCACTTGTTGCAACCAATCACGATCAAGGTTGTGACGTATGCGTCGTGGACTCCATGCCACATCCCCCTCTCCTTGTCCATCCATATATGGGGCGTGGAGTCCGTGAAGCTTTTGTTCTTGTGAGCTGAAAAATCAGGAGGAGAGAGAAAAGACCGAGAAGCCTGAATTGGTGTCCTTCGCCTTTGCCGGTGAGAGGAACAGAGCTAATTACCTGAAATTTCTCTTGCTTTTTGGTGCTCAAACCGTTTCCGGTCATCGGATCTTCCCCGAATCCATGGTAATCCTATCGTTTTCTTTTTATCCGTAATCTTTATGGCTTACATTCCATTGCTTTCTCTTTATATTCGTTTGATTTCTTGGTTATATTCTTTTCCACCGGAAATATTTTCCGTAGATCTGATGTAGCCATTTTAATTATGCTATTCAATGCACATTATTCTATGTACAATTTCAATGCTACGTATTTTTTCTTCCCCTTTCTGTTTTATTTATTGACGTGTTCTTAGGTAAACTTATGCTTGATTCAATTTAATCTTGTGGTTGATTCAAGATTTGTATCTGTAATTTGCAATGTGAACATTGTCGTCCCCTCTTCTATGATTGCCACTCAATTTGTCTAAACATAATTAAGATTGATACTTATTATTTGTTTGCCTATTCAGACAACATCAAGACGTCTTGCAGATAGGAAGGTGGAGAGGTTTGACAAGAACATTACCAAGCGAGGATTCGTGCCCGAAACGTCTACCAAAAAGGGGAATAACTACCCTGTTGGCCCTGTTTTGCTTGGGTTCTTCGTTTTTGTTGTCATCGGATCATGTAAGATCTCCTTGCTTTACCTTTTATTGTCCTTTTGTTAGTATTCACGTTGATAAGATCTTGTTGCTTCTGCTACTTCTATTATGACTCATTTGACCTAGTAATCTAGTAATCCAGAAGATATTGTGGTTTTTTCTATGCAATTGAAACCACTTTCAGTTCTAAAAGGTTGAGGATGTAGATAATTTACACCTGTCTCTATGAATGCTTGTTAACATGGAATTAAAGCAGAACTTCTTTCGTTTTGCCCTGCTTGACCTAGTCCGGGACGGACATGGGGTGTATGGAAGATATCAATTAGTAGATTACCCTGTCTTCTATCAGTTAGGCTTTTTTAGTATCGTGCACAAACATGTGGTAACATATCCATTTGGCCCCTGAATTTAATTATGTCCTGAAACAAAATTTTGTATCAATCTAGCTCCTACTTTTTAACTTGATTTGATGTGTCCAATTTTGTTTGATTATGTGATGGAAAATGTGCCAGGGTAGCTGATGGAAAATAAATAGGAAGATTTCCTCACAAAACCTCATCTGCTAGGCACACGAATTGAATTTGAACTGAGCTGTTGATGCTCGGTATCTGCATGTAGAACAAGGCATAAGAGTAAGATTGGGGAGAAAGAAGGGGGAGGGAGGAGGGGAAGCAAGGAAGAGAGAAGCCAAGAAGAATAACATGGAGATGAAAAATTTTCAGACAGGGTGGGGGAAAGATTGGGAAGAGAGAAACTAAGATGCCTGTTGAAACAAAACCCTGCCAGAACTTAGCCCACTTTTCCTCCTACTTCTCACCTTTTAAAACTAAAACCTATTACTTCCCCAAAAAAGAACTAAAACCTCTCTCTCTCTCCCTACATTGAAATTCCCTCCCTTTACTCGCAGATATTTTATACATGCTTACTATTTGAGATAATCAATATTGCTCTGTTTTTAGCCTCAACAAACCATCTACAAATTATCCAAAACAACACAATATTTGTCAAAATGAGGCCTGCCCACTCACCCTTGAGATGGATCATGGCTTAGCATGGTACCTTTTGTTTGGTCAGTCTAATGTGTCGATAATAGTTAAATATATGGTATATAAAGACCCTTTGAAGCATTTATTCATAAGATTCTTCTTGCTATACTATAGATTCTCTACATTGTTAATTTCATCTGTCTCAATTGGCGTCCTAGAAATATTATAACCAATGGATGGCTATGGTAATTATATCCATCAAAAAAAGAAAAAAAAATGGTAATTATATCCATCAAATTTATTGCATACATGGATGAATTCTTTTGTGTTCTTTATCTTCTCTAGTCTTTACAACTCTCTAAATCCGAAGAGATTCTACTCCTACCAGTAGCTCACTCTCCAAACCTAAATTCAACAATACATATTACCTTTGGAAAATCCATCTCCCTCCCACTCTCCGATGGAGTGCACCCTCTCCCTCTCCCTTGGCTGCCAAACCATCTCTATCTACAAAACCACAGATTTGGCTTCCTTGCCGCCCCTTGGATTGTATTCCCTGCGAGAGAAAACAATCCCACCACCATCTCCATCCACCACCCTCTGTATGTAACTTATATTTCACTGATGATACAGGTCACTTTCCTGCTCTACTGTTCACTCCTCCACTGGTCATGTGAAAGAAGAGGCACAGAGGTGGCTGAGTTTTGGTGGTGCTGGTGCATAGGTGGTGGGATAGTGGTACATCATTTACCGGTGGTAGAGGATTAGATTGATAGTGAGTCATTGGCAGCCATAACGCTGGGGTTGGGTCAGTGATATCCATAGCAGAACAGAAAGGTAGGATAAGGAGAGGGAGAGGAAGATTACTTGAATTTCGGGAGGTGTGATTGCTGGCATCTTCGTCGGTCATAGTGAAGAGAGAGTTGGTGTGGGAAGTAAGGGAGAAGGAGTAGTTGCATGCTGTGTTGAATACCACAAATGCCCTAAATGCAAAAAATGAAAAAAAAACACACATGATACTCGAATGTTTTTTCCATTACTAATACTAATAAATTGCATGGAATAGTCACATCGAGTAAAATTGAAAAATTGGACAATTCAATTGAGATAATTTAGTCTGAGGGCTTAATTGAAACTAGTGTTATATAGTTTAGAAGTCAATTGGATGATTTTCTGTTGTAGATAATAAATATCTATAGCTTGGTTTCACTGCCCATTAATGACTTTCGCGTGTGTGCAAATGCTCCCCATTGCAGTATTTGAATTCAACTAAATCACTTTCTATTAAATTTCGTTTTCTATGCTGCAAGCCTATTGTCACCTTACTGATTGTTTTTTTCCCATCTCTTTGACAGCTCTATTTCAGATAATCAGGACAGCAACTAGTGGAGGCATGGCTTAACTATACAATCGTTATGTGACATACATATATAGCTGATGGCTATTTCTTGTAATGTGTTTTCCCTGTCATTAGCCCCCCGAATGTAGAACTCAAAGAAAACTTTATTAGATCTCTGCGTTTTCTATTGTAGTGAATTCTGAAACTTTCACCAAATAAAGTTACACCTTCCTGGGTTCTTTTTCCTTTCAAGTTTTCGTATCTCAAAATCCCTAGTTGTGTGCGCATGGTGGATCCCCTGTTACCACGCAAGCCACTGGAGTGGGAAAAAAAATGCCAATATTATACTTTAGCGGATTTAATTGGTGCCTCAAAGGGGAAAAAACTTTAAAAGAAAAAATCCTTCCCTAAATGTTACCACAAGCAGTGGTGGAGCCACTCAAGAACCCCCTCAATTTTGTTGTCTATATGTCCATCCTATTATTTTTTTTGAAAAATGCTTTTGCAACCTAATTTAAGGATCTAATTTTGGGGTTCAAAGTGAGTTTCATCCGATATTAGAACTAACAATTAATCAAATGACTAAGTTTAATTAGGTTCCCAAATTCAGTCTCTATAGCATTACTTTTTTTTTTTTTTATCATATTAATTACTCCATCCGTTCTTAAATATTTGTCGTTTTACATAATTTTTTTTGTTCCATAATATCTGTTGTTTAATGAAGTCAAAATATAATTAATATTTTTTCTTTCAATTTTACCCTTAACTTTTCAATGCATTAGATTAGGTGGAGGCTAAGTGCCTTTCATATTCTTTTCTTTTCCAATACGTATTGAATAAGGGTATTTTAGTCTTGTGTAATTATTTTTTTACTCATATTAGAACTAACAATTAATCAAATGACTACATTTAATTAGGTCCTCAAATTAAGTCTCTATGGCATTACTTTTTTTTTTTTATCATATCAATTACTCTATCCGTTCCTAAATATCTGTTGTTTTACACAATTTTTTTTGTTCCATAATATCTGTCGTTTAATAAAACCAAAATATAATTAATATTTTTTCTTCCAAATATATCATTAACTTTTCAATGCATTAGATTAGGTGGAGGCTAAATGTCTTTCATATTCTTTTATTTCCCAATACGTATTGAATAAGGGTATTTTAGTCTTGTGTAATTATTTTTTTACTCATATTAGAGTTATTTAATACCTTCCTTAATCCTTGTGCAAAAACCTTAAACAACAAATATTTAAGAACGGAGAAAGTAGTATACTAAATGACTAACAGTGGACACACTTTAGACATATTCAAATTAATTTGAACATATTGAGTTCATTTTGAAATCTTTAATCAACTTGATCATTTATTATTGGTGTGCATTTCAGCATTGAGTTTAAAACCTAGTTGAAATTTGTTATCTTACTCACAAAATTTTAAAATAAAAAAATACTAGGCATATCCTTTTGTGTGTATATGTGTGTGATTTTGACAATTGATTTTAAGAGTTATTAATAATAAAATCATTAGAAAAAGCTATCAAACTACAAAATTCGTTAGATCAATTGTAATTAATTATAATTAACTTCATTTTCAATAAAAGATTATAATTAATTTTTCCTTTTTAAAGATTATTGATAAAATAAATAATATAAATGTGTCATCTTTTTATCGATTAGGATAAAATATGTTAGAATGCCCACCCTAAAAAATAAAGTTTTTGCACCCCACCCACCCGCAAAAGGAAAAAATATAGACGCCTTTAAACAACACGAAGTATAAAGTTCTTGCACAGCTGATTCAAAAACAGCATTTTGGACTTTTATCTTCTGAATCAAAGTCGACATCAAGATATTTGTACAGGAAAGGAAATTACCATCGTCATACATTTTAATCTATACCATCAGAGAACAGGCTGAAGACAAAGTGGCGGCAAAATCCGTGCAGCCAATTGGTTGTAGAATCCTTGTCGAAAACTGACCTCTGAAACCCATGTAAAATCAAGCCATTTCCGTCAGACACGGTTGAAATGCAGTGCCGCATGCAATCCACTGCCGCTTTCTCCCCCGGGGCAGCACACAGCCAGGAACCTTCAACCATTCCCTGCTTGTTACATTATAGGTGACTAGTCGATTCATTTGTCTAGATCTCAGCGACAGCAAAAGTAAACCTTTGTTACCCAAGCAAGTCATCCTAACGTGCTTTCCGTAAAACTCCAAGCACCATACGTTTGGCATTCTGTCAACCTCCTTCCATAAAAGGGTCATCTTCTGCAGCTCCCATATGCACACACATGTGGCAGCATTCTTTGTCAGCAGGCCCACAAGCATGATCTGCCCCCCACATTCTGCCAGTGTATGGTCACTGAGATGTGGGGGGGCTGGGATGATAAACTGCTTCCAGACCCCAGTTACCATGTCATAGGATATAATTCCGTCTGGGTCTGAACGCATGAAGGAGAGTGTACTATCAATGGACACTGCTTGCGACCTGAAGTTCAGGGCCAGCGGAAGCTTAATGCTTGAAGGCATGCTCCCTGGACGTGTCCAATAATTCTTTGTGGAGTCATAGACTTCATACTCTCCGTCAGAGCCAACCCAAAGGATCTTATAGCCCCCACAAGTTGATCTCCCATTTAGAGTCATCCCAACAGCAATACGGGACCAGACCTTCACTGACCTAGCCGGCAACTCTTTGAAAGATTTGGTAAGAGGGTTGGATACATAGAAGCTCCTATGTCCAATGTCCAGAAAACAGACAAGACCCCCACTTGAAGCAACTGGCAAGACAATTAACTTTGTTGGCAAAGCAGGTACAGTAGGGTGGTGCCATTTCTTTAAGGTAGGGTCATACATGGCTCCAGTATTCACATTCTCATGCGTAATGGTGTAAAACCAGGGTTGGGCTTGTGGGACTTGGGCACACTGCTGGGAGAAACTCTGAGAAGTCAGCAACGAATTCCACTTCCGGCAAACTGAACGGAAGCGGAAGAATGTGGCGATCGGAACTCTTGCAATGACAGCTTCAAAAAGATCTTCTGGGAATTCTTTCCAAATCTGCTGTTCCATATTTTCAGTGGAGTAAGCAGATCCAGCATATTTTTTGCGATTCCGCTCCTTTCGAGCTTTCTTTGTGGGTGGAGGTTTGCCAGGCTCCAACATCTTGGAATATCCAGTTTTTCCGGTCCTCATAATGAAACTGTAGCAACTGTCCTCTGAGGAGCTATCATCTAGATTCAAAAGGCACCATCTGCTCAAAACACAACCAATAGCCTATTCATTTATTCACTGCTAAAGCCATTTGAAGAGACTGAAATTGCAACCACTAAGCAATTTGGTGGAATGTTGTGTAGAAAATACAAACAATCAATGCAAACAGAATTTACCGACATAATCGACACCAATGCGATCACATATCACCTATGCAATATGATGTAGATAACACCTCATCAGTAAACCAAAAGGGTTTACAAATTGTACCAGAAATAAGAGCACAAGACAAAAAAACATAGTATAAAGCAAATGGGACTACAGAAGTGGACTAAACTGTATAACAGGAAGAGCACCGCAGAGCAAAGATGTCCTTTGGAAGCTGTATCCAACTAATGGAGGGACTAACATGATTGCGTGTAACAAACTGACAATATCAGCAATTGAAACCTATTACTCAACACTGCACAATGTCAAGGATGTAGTTCATTCCAACAGACAAGTTTCAGATTGATGAAAGATTAAGACAGGATTTTACACAGCCCAATTTTGAGTATCCACTTTGCAACAACAAAAATACACATTCTAACTTGGTAACACAAAAAATTCAAATAAACATCAAGTAATAATGTAAAATTGGCGTGTGCTAACAATTAGAGGCAAACAACAGAATGAACCATTAATCGAAATTCTAGCGGAAGGGGAAGGGGAAGAATAACTTAAAACATGTGGTGAGGTAGTGAAGAAAAATATGGCTGCTTTTAAGTAAAGAGAGGATACAATAGCCCTTGACACTTTAGAACAACCAAAAGAGACTGAGTTCATATAGTTTGGGCGAAGCCTTTGTTTGGATATGTCGTAAGAAGAAGAAAAGCTAAGGCCGTGTTTGGTCTATTTTACATAGGAGAAAAAAAAAAAGGCTTTAAGAAGGCCTCAATTCAGCTGTAATACTAATCACTTGGCAATAATTTGGATAAATTAGTCAAAAATTAGACAGCAATTAAATTTACGCATACCAATTCGAAAATCATCAAATGTATTAAACTTAGAAATCATAGGACAAAGCAATTAATTGAACTAAGAAACCTAAAAATGTATGTATAGCTATGAAAGAAGCAAGATCAATAGGTTAAGGACAAATGTTGCTCGCAATTGAAACCCCTAATTAACTGAAAAATAAGCATACGGATCTCAAAGTAGAGATGAAAGCTGAGCATTAGATATAGAGTTAGAAAGCGCAGAGAGAGAGAGAGAAGGTAGAGAGACCTGTGCTGTTGTTGTGGCGGTGGTGGCGGTGGTTGAATCAGTTGTTGAGTGTGAGCTTGAAAATGAAGAAAACGAGGAGGAAGAGGAGAACCGTATAGTTCCAAGAGCTCTTCAACTTGTCCGATGAGCTGCCTCAGCATGGCCAACCTTTACATGCTCCAGCCTTCTCCTTCTTTGTACACCCCCTTCCCCACCCCTCTCTCTCTCTCTCTCTCTCTCTGCGAGTCTCGCTCTAACTATATTGCATCAATCTCTCTCCCTCTGTCTCTCTTCTCTCTCACACACACAACAGACAAGCTCCCTCTTGTGTTGTGTCCAACTTATCGCCCACTCTTGCTTTAACACGTCGCCAGGTCATACGATAATTAGTAGCATTGACCGTGTACGCAACTTTTATCACTCCGTAATCAATTGATATTTTTCCGTTTGTTTCCGTATATGCCCTCGCATTTTATTATGGGAAAAATCGGAAAAATTGTTTTTTTGTTTGTTTGTTGTGGGGTTTGTCAATTCTCATGCTGCGTAGGTAGCCTCTTAGGACGGCAATGGTTGGTCACCTATCCAGCCGAAATCGTCAATGAAATTACCCTCAGTTTCCATCTTTGTGACCACTGCTTAGACTCCCCATCATTTACTTTATTTTTCTTTTTTTCTACCGCGAGAGAGATGTACAATTTAACTTATGTAAAACTTGATTAAGTTTTTTTTTTTCCTTAAAATATTATCGAGATTTAAATTTATAATTGATTGTTATTATCACTTGAATTATTTTTTAAGATTATCCGTCATTTTCTTTCACAAGAGTAAAACATAGCCCATCAATTTTTCTTGGACACACAAAATAAAAGTTATCTAATATTATAGTTAAAAATTTAAATTTTTTACTTATAAAAGGTATAAAAATGATTAAGATTAATCCTTTTTTTTTAAAATCTAGTTGTACAAATTTCATTCCAAAATTTTTTTCTTGCTCAAAACAATCAACTTCTTTATACAGACTACTTAATCTAAGCACTCCTCAACATCAAATAACCCCCACTAATTAAGATATAAATATTGTAAGATTAATGTTCAAATCTTAGTATTACGTAGAGTTTTTAGGTACGGAATTATTACTAATTTTTAATAAGGAAATTGTTACAATATCAAACAGAAAATTGCTATATAATTGATCAAACTCTACAACCACTACCAATTTTTTTTCCCAATTCAACAATAATTTCCAACGATAAGATTGTTTGGTACAAATGTATTATATAAAAAGATTTTTTATGTGATAGCTTTGCATGACATTTGAAGTAATAAGATAAATGAAAATCTTAGAAATCGTCACCATTAGCAAGAAAATTGTACAGTATTATCAAGATATATAGTTTAGGAGAAATGGTGTCATCGTCTCAAAGTAGATCTTGTAAATGTGAGGCTTATGTAGATTTGATATTGGAAAAATGGGTTCTGAAATAGGGTAACATTTTTTTAGAAGGAATATCTATTCTTACTAGTTTATTGTAACTTGTTTCAATCTTAAATATAGTTTAAGTGAGACGAATTGTAAATTTAGACGTTTTAAATTCAAGTCTTTGTGAGCTGTTGGGGCGAGATTAAATCCCTTATGAATATCCTAGTTTCACTGTGAATGACCTGCTTTTGACCAGACGGGAAGGGTATTCATCAAGTTACGTATAAACTGATTTGAACATTTTTGACCATTAAATTAAAAAAAAAAATTACTTTTAGAGGAGAGACATGTTTTATTTGGCTCGAAAAGAATCAGAGGGTATTAATCGTAAAAGGACGGCATGCTCATTTTGTGAGCTGACAGATCAAGACCATGGTGGCAATAATGGAAGGGGGTTGGTAGCACCTACAATAATTAGCTTGCAAGTTTACAATAGGGCATTGTTAATGTCATATTCAAGCATTAATAGATTAATTTAGTAATCCAACGAGTTCAAATTTTTAATGTTACTTTTGTTTTTATTTCATGGAAATATGCCCAAGAGTTGCAATGAATTTCATCCTCATTCACTTGTACATTTTCTCATGTTTGTATTTTAAAGCATTCTTACTTACCTGTCAAAAATCGAAAAGAATTTTCCAAACATTGTTTTCATTGGGATGAGTTTGATCATATCATAAATTCGTTTCTATTTTGCTAAAATTTCGAATGTGACATCAATATCATTGGTAATATCAACTTTGAAAGTAACTTTCTTGTTGAACAAAAAGAGAATCCGATCTTACTAACACATATCATGTCTTCTTCTTATTTTTTTATATATATACTAGTTATTGTCTGTGTCTGAAAGTACAGAGTAATAAAAAATAATAAACAATAAATATACTTGTATTTATATCCAAAATTAAATCACAAATATAGAGAAGAAATAAAGAATTTTAAGCATTAATTTGTAGTGGAAGTGAAAGGTGGTAGGCGACAATGGTGATGATAAGAGACAGTAATGATTGTGGTGGGTGACAATGATTGTGGTGGTCGTGGTGGTGATGGTAGTGGTGGTGGCGGCAGTGATGGTGATGGTGGTGGCGATGGTGGTGGTGGTGACGGTGGCGGCAACGATAGTGGCGGTGGTGGTAATGAAACGATTTCAAATATTATTTTTTTTAAAAGTATTTATGATATGTAATTTTTAGAAGTACTTTTAAAAAGTCACTCCAAACACACCTTTAGAGGCTATTTTTTCTATTAAATTTAAGGTGTTAATATTAACCGTTAGATTAATTTTAAAGTAAAATTTAAAACGATCTCAATCGCGAATAGTAAAAATTATTTTATTTATTTTTTAATATTTGAATTATAAACTACTTTATTATATATATTTTTTTTAGCTCCTTATATGTGTTTGTTTGTAGGGGTGTTTATTTGCAGGTGTGCTGAGTACGAGAGAGAAATTGTTTATATGGAAAACTTGTCTAGAATTTTAATTGTAGAGGGAAGGACAAATGGATGAGACATATTCCTACAATGCTTTCAATCAACTTCAGTGAGCCGTGGAAGCTAAACAATACTAGAGTTTCGCCAAATTTCTATTAAATATAGATATTGCAGAATGATGAACCGGCAAGAACAAGAAAGGTTTTCCATCTTAGGAATTAGTGAGCTGGAAGAGGCGTGCGTATAAATGCATCCACTACTTCCTCCTATATTAGTTACTAATAAATTGCTTAAATGAACTCCTCAAAATAGTTCACAAAATATCAGAGGGAGTACTTAATATCCAAAAATTCCATATTTGAGTATCTCAAAAGGACTTCCTAATTGATTTCTTTGGGTCCAAACATTCTGAGTGGTTTGATGCACGTGATTTTGTATATAACTATATACATTGTTAGCTTTCAAAATAATCATGACTCTAAAGAGTAAATCACGAAGATTGTTCAAGTAGTAATAAAAACGAACTGAAAATTCAGACGTTTTTAGTTTAAATTTTTATATTTCTTTGGGACAAGTTATGAAAAATTTATCTCTTATAAATACTTTAGTTTCGGCTTGAATGACTTACTTTTAATGAGAGAATTAACTGATATACACATAAATTGATCCAGACACTCGTAACCATTGAATGAAAAAAGAAGAAGAAGATTGTTCTCGATTATAAGTTTTTTTTTTTAAATATGCCAAAAAAAAAATAGTTATTCCTTATTATTTAATTTTTAGTTTCTGCTTTGATAACCTCCCTTTGGTCACATCAACATAATTTGAGGCAAGTCAACAAAGTGAACAACTGTCAAAATATATAATGCATTAGATTTGTCAAGAAGAAAGAGATGGGTGATGCACTACACAGAAGTCTGGAAAACAAGCTCTTAAATCTCAAGCCTATGGCTATGTTTACCTAGGTGGACCATTGTAGCAGAAATTAGGACCGTTTCCATTTTTGATGAGTTCTTATCTAACCAAATACACCACACCACACCACAAGAACATCAAATGAAATACTTTTTGGACACCTTCAAGCTATGTTGTTTTATTTTCTTACATCAAATCAGAATAGGATTAAAGTTTATTTTTTAGTATCATAGACTTTTTTTGAAAAATGCATATTATTTTTCAAGATAAGACAATTCTTAGCTACTTCACTCGTGTCCCTATATAATTTTTTTTCAAATAAAATAATTCCGGATTCATTAACATAGCACTATATAATTCGTAAAGAAGTAAATAACTTTGTCATTATTTTATTGCATTTTTTGATTAAAAAAATCATATCACTAAGGATAAAAAATTTGCTTAAGTGAATTTGTAAACGAAAATATTTTAAAAATATTTCAAAAACAAGATAAAAATAAATAAAAAATTTAAAATTTTATTTCTAAAATATTTCAAACATAATTCAAAAAATACCGAAATACATCAAAAATACCCCAAAACACTTAGAAAATATTAAATTTTTTATAATTAATAAATAATTCATTTTAATTTCCATAAAAATAGAAATTTTTTAGACGTTTCATAATAAAATTTAATTTCATTCCAAATAACATACCAATCAACGTATTTCAAGTTTCAACTAGACTCCAAGTCCTTGGATCCATATTTAGAGCGGGCCCATTATATGTTGACCGGGCCAAATGTCAGAAATTACCATTTATTGGAGAAAAATCAAGGGGTAAGGGGTATAAAGGTAAAATAAAGAAGCATCTGCTTTGTATATAAGAAAGTAGAGTATTTTGTGGTGCACCCTCTTCGTGTGTGAAGTGTGAACACAGCTTACATATACTTTTTGGTATACAGAATCAGCTTTGTTTGCGAGATAAACGGCTCAGATTAGTTCTCTCCAGTCTCTTCGTCCTTCTCTCTCTTCTTTTTCCCACACGGCCGGCATGATTGTCCAATCCCACTCTTAACGTTTTATCATGATTTTCTAGTTACAACTTACAACTACGGAAGTACCAACTCGATGCTCTCTGTCCACTTTTAATTATCAAAAGCAACCTCAAATTTCATTTTCTATTTCTATTTCTATTTCCTTTTTTCTCTTTTTACTCAATTTGGTGTTTTCTTTTTCATTCTCTACATTAATAAATTCATTCCTTGACCAGCTCCAGCCATACCATTTTCTCTAGACTAGATGATGAAGTTTTTTTTTTTTTTATTTGGGATAGTAATATTTTTAGTCATTAAAGTATGTTAATTTGACCTATAAAGTATTAATATTTATCTATTTGATATTTGAAGTTTCAATTCGTGTTATTTTGATCTATAATCAGATAATTTGTTAAATTTTTTGACAAAAATAATCACGTGTCATTTTTTCAGATTGTATCACATATTCAACACATAATCATTCCGTTAAAAATTTAATGGTCTATCTATATAGGGATCATTTAAACAATAATTGAATATTTTATGAGTCAAATTAAAAAAAATAACATTTTAAATACCAAATTAATAAAACATACATATTTTAAAAACTAAAAATATTTATTATCTTTTTTTTTTATTTTTTAAATACTTTAGGCCGAGTGGCACTCTTTTTCTTTCTTACTTTCATAGTCACAGTCACAGTTACTTTCTCTACTTCTGTGTAAGACCTCAAATGTAACTTTTCTTTTACTAAAAACACCTTTATCTCCTTTGTTTTTAGTTTAACAATCAGAAGGGTTTAGACTAATTTAAAATACGTCAATTAATTTTTGCTCTTATTCGATCAAAGATAGGTCATCCACTTCAACATTAAGATATTCTTGAAGAATAAGTCGTTCATAACTTTGTTTCAAAAAATTATTAAAATTAAAACTCAGAACGTCTGAACTTATTATTTATTTCTATTTTTTATTACTACTTGAACTAACTTTAAGATTAAAACACACTTGAACTAACTTTAAGATTAAAACACTTTTATCCAACTTGAGAATTTCCATATTCAAAGTAGTCAATAAAGATACTATATGTACCCTTGCTGTTAAATGCTTGACTTCCTTTTCCAAAATCTTGAATGTGGACTGAAATTTAAGGCAGTGTTTGGACGTAAACAAATAGGAATCAAGTAATAAAATGGATCTGCTGAAAAAAAAAAAAGTAATAGAATGGAGAAATTTCCTTCATTTCAAACATGAACAAATAACACATTTTGGCTAAATTCTCCCTAATAAAAAAAACACATTATATATACTCAAAAAAATCGACCTTAAAACTAGCAATTGAAATGATGATGAAGCCAGTAGCGTGACTTCCTAACCTTGTTCCATGGCATCATGCTGCTCTGCATTCATGACTCATGAGTAAGTGACATATAAGCTTACAATAATGTTTGGCAAATGCTCAAGTAAGGATCCCCATCACTCATCTTTTCTGTTTTTTTTTTTTTTACTATACTATGCAGAGATCATAGTTAGACTGATATTAAGCACTCACTAATCTACAAAAATATATTTTAAATCGAAACCCATCTATAAAAAATGAGAATAGGTAATTTACCATATTTTTTTGCATTAACGTTGTTAACCACAAAAAAAATTATCAATAACTATACTAGGTAGGAGGTGTTTATCTTTGTTTTTTCATCCCAATGCTCCTCTACTGGCTAGGATCAAATTTGAAATAATTACAGAAGAGAGAGTCAGTGAAGATCAAACCCGTGATCTAAGGATCTAATAACAAATTGTGATGATCATTAGGTCAACCAATCATTCTCCGACTATATATGATGAAAATTGCAAACTTTGGACTTTATTCGGGCAAAACTTTTTTTTTCTTTTTCTTCTTTTGGTAGATCCCAATACTAGCAGAATGCTGAAATTTAAAGATAGTAAATATGTTTTTTGTTTTTTTTTTTTCTGTGGAAGAAAACATAAGCAGAAAAAAAAGAGAGATGAAATTTGGTGAGGATAGAGAGTCATGATTATACATAGAGAGAGGAAAGGGGTAATATAATGATTAGGTTTGCCAAAACCAAAGGGGATGAGTTTGCGGTGGGTAATCATTTCTATGTATAGGGAAGAGAAGCTTTTGGTGGGTAATGTATGATGATAGCTCATTATCATCTTCATCATATAGAATCCTTCTTTTACGTGTGCATTCGTTTACTTATCTGATTGTCTTTGAATATATATCAAATCCTGCTTCTGCCTTAATTGCAAAGTTCGTCATGCTCTTCTTATTCGGCGTGATATACGTTTATCCTATCAATTCCGACCACCCAACCTAGCTCGTCCTGGGTACTTAAAGTGTTTCTATTTGACGGTAGGATAACATAACAAGCCCAAAGTAGTGTTCGGCTCATCTCAAACACTGGTATTCTTCAGGGGGGCTTTGCCCAAAATTAGCCTGCTATATATTTTGGGCTTCATATGGGCCAAACAGAGCCCTACGCAACATTTTTTTTTTGTTTGGGTAAATTACAAACAATTATGCACCCTTTTAAGCACAAACATCTAGCTTCTAAGTATTGTAGGATTCAGTTCTTTTATCCGTCTTTCTGCTATTATTTTGTGTAATATATTTGTTTTTTTTTTAATTCAAAGGTCAGGGTATTCGTTAAGTGTTGTAGGATGAACTACCTTGATTTTGAATAACAAGTTGAGTGGCCACAAGAGAGATTCGTTCGCATGCAAAAGATTTTTCTTTGTCGCAGTGTTAAAAGAGAGGCAAGTTTTAGAGATCCTTTTCCAAATTTGAATCGGTTGAAAGCTAGTTATAGGAAAAAACTGACGTGAGCAGTGATCAATGCAACGTCACTCTAAGATGACACAACGAATTCCTACCTGCCAAAAAGCCCATGACAATCTCACCTTTTTATATCATTCTCCTAAAACCTCACTACTTCTCTCATTCACGTACAAGTTATGGTTAGCACCTAACATTAATCAGTACTAATCACACTCCTATAAAAGCACCTATCAATTTCAATACCTTCTCTTATTCATGTATCAAAATATGGCAACTCATACAGCAAGTTCAGCACAAGAAGAAGAACATATTTTCCGAAGCCGGTATCCGTCAGTTCCGGTGCCGGATAACTTAACGTTGCCAGATTTTGTGCTTCAAAATTCAGGGTTGTACGCTGATAAGGTGGCATTTGTGGAGGCTGTCACCGGAAAAGGGTATACTTATGGCCAAGTTACTAGAGGTGTCAAGAGGTTTTCCAAGGCCTCAAGGTCCCTTGGCCTGAGGAATGGAAAGGTGGTGGTTGTGGTACTCCCTAATGTAGCAGAATATGCCATTGTTGCTCTAGGAATAATGGCTGCTGGTGGAGTTTTTTCGGGTGCCAATCCTTCATTGCATGCTTCAGAAATAAAGAAGCAAGTGGAGGCTGCTGATTCCACACTAGTTGTCACTGATGGGCCAACTTGTGAGAAGGTACTAAGGAAGTAATTAATTACCCCTGTATTGCATTATTTGTCTATTTTAAATTAGGTCTACACGATTTTAAAACACGTCGTATAATAAAAGCCTAATACTCATACTTGTGTGTCACTTTATACACACTTTACCACCCAACAATGTGGGATTACAAAGGATTACTCCAAAATTCTGGCTTCCACAGTCCCAAGTGACTACCAGGTCGGGATGCAAAAATTAGGTGGACTCCACACCACGAGATCTGATAACTCTGCTATAAATTGTGACGCCCTAGGATAACATTGTACAATATTGTCTACTTTGTATTAGGCCGAAACAACTTTAAAATTAGTTGTATAATAAAATTCTAAAACTCACAATTACGTATAACTCCATGCCCACTTCACTAGGAAATATGGAATCTGAGTCTCACAAGATATTCAATGATTTTAGCCTCGAAGCCAAAGGTTTTTTTTCGAATTAGTTTCTGTATTTCATGCAATTTCTTGGTAGGGAGATATAGAACAACAATGATTATTACTGAAAATAACAAAATTGGATTAACAACTTAACAAAATGATGAATTCAACTTCTTGTGATCAATGTACTCCACTGATCAAGCTGTCTGTGTTGAGAACAACAGGTTAAAGGTTTGGGACTACCAGTAATTGTACTAGGCGAAGAACGCATTGAGGGGACCATACAGTTAGATGAATTGCTTGCAGCTGCAGACCGTTGCAACATTGATAACATTACAGAAAGAGTCAACCAAACTGATTTATGTGCCCTTCCATTCTCATCTGGCACTACAGGGCTCTCAAAGGGTGTAATGCTGACCCATCGAAACCTAGTAGCGAATCTTTGCTCATCACTCTTCAGTGTAGGACCAGAACTGGTGGGACAAGTCACCACACTTGGCCTAATACCATTCTTTCATATATATGGCCTTACTGGAATTTGTTGTGCCACTCTTAGAAACAAGGGGAAAGTTGTAGTGATGGATAGGTATGAACTTGGTGCGTTTTTGGGTGCATTGATTGAACATGAGGTCACTTTTGCACCAATTGTGCCACCCATAATTTTGGGGCTTATTAAGAATCCCATAGTGGATGAATTTGATCTTGCTAAGCTCAAGCTCAGGTCGATCATGACTGCAGCAGCTCCACTTGCTCCGGAGCTTCTTAGTGAATTCGAAAAGAAGTTCCCTAGTGTTGAAGTCCAAGAGGTGAGTCCTATGCCATATGCCTTAAATTCTAAATTTCTGAAGGAACTTATACGTTCAGGCAGGATAGATATAACCGTTCAGGCAGGATAGATATAGCCTGGAGATCACTCTGAGCTTTAATGGAATTGTAGCCTAAATAGCCTTGTTTTCGACTAGTTTAACACTGCAATGAATCAACCAGACGGTGACAGTGTTGTCACAATTGATTTCTCATTGTAATTATGATACCAAAGCCTACACTAATTTGGCTGTCACTACTAGGCTTATGGAATGACAGAGCACAGCTGCATTACACTGACACATGGGGACCCAAACAAGGGCCATGGCATTGCAAAGAAACACTCAGTTGGGTTCATTCTTCCCAATTTAGAAGTGAAGTTCATTAATCCTGCCACGGGTCAGTCACTCCCCAAGAACACCCCGGGTGAGATTTGTGTGAGAAGCCAATGCGTGATGCAAGGTACCAAGGCTTTTGCATTGATTTTTGCAATAGACGAAATAGAATTTCTCTTCCATTAGAAATGGAATTTATCAGGTTCATTCACTCATTCTCATTGCATCATGTCACATCCATTGCAGGTTACTACAAAAATGAGTACGAGACTGCCCTCACCATCGATGAAAATGGATGGCTTCACACTGGTGACATTGGTTTCATCGACGAAGATGGAGATATTTTTCTCGTGGATCGCATCAAAGAGTTAATCAAGGTCAAAGGATTTCAAGTAAGAAATGACACCCTTACAGGTTTTGATTTTGCAGTACATGAAAACATATACGAGGCTTAATCTTACAAAGACACCAACTGCATTCCATTTCCTAAAATCCTAACAAATGATTGATTTGCATATAACCAGAATGAGAATTGGTCAATTTGTTAAACTTATACTATAAGTTTCATAAACTTGAATTTGTTGATTATTTCAGTTGGCCCTTTTTTTTCTTCGTTTGTGAGAAATCTCTTCGTTTTCTTAACTGTATTGTAAAAATGTATCCTGCAATAGCATAACACTAAGTACTAACACTTGGTTAAATGTCATCATTTTGATTCATAGGTTGCTCCTGCTGAATTAGAGGGCATCCTTCTAACTCATCCTTCGGTCGAAGATGCTGCTGTCGTGGGGTAAGCATATCATCGTGCACCCTCATTCTTGTCAAACCAAACTCTGCAGACTAAATGGAGATACTAATGGAGTTAAAAGGCAAAAATGGAATTGACAATGTTGCTATATATTACTTGCAGACTGCCCGATGAAGCAGCAGGGGAGATACCAGGTGCATGTGTGGTGATGAACTCGAGGGCAAAAGAGAGTGAAGAGGAAATTATGGAGTTTGTTTCATCTAATGTAGCACATTATAAGAGAGTGAGAGTGCTGCAATTTGTGGACAAAATCCCAAAATCGCCTTCAGGAAAGATAATGAGAAGGCTTATCAAAGAAAAGATGGTTGAAAATATAAAACCCAACTCCAAAATTGGCGTAGAAAGACGGCTTTTGAAGTGACCAACATTTACCATCTTGAATGACTTCGAGTGTAGTGAATACTGAGGTTCTGAAACTTCAAATAATCCGAGCAATATCTTCAAGCAGTGCTCAATCCATTATGTGATTGATTAGGAGGTTATTGTTTACCAATATATGAAGAATTACGATCAACATAAACCTCCCTTAATGAAAATCTACTATTCTTATTTGATGCACATAATTTTGGACGTGACAATCAACGTTTGATTGTAAGTTGTAATCATATGTTCAAAAAACGCTTGATTATAATGATTCCTCGTTAACAAAAAAAATGGTGATTATGATTGAAAAATGGGTTTGAGGATCACTACTATCGAATTATGAAAGTGCCAATCTCTTCAAAGAATAAGCCTGCTTACAAATATAAAGAAGTTACAAACCTTGATTAGAACCACCCCTTTTGGGAGTAGCATTTCTTTTTTTTTTTTTTTATTCAATGGTCAAGAGGATTCGGACTAACTTATGCACTTTGATTAATCTCTTCTCTGGTATGATTAAAAACAAATAATTCACGTTAGTTCTAAAGTGTTCAGAAAAAATTTATCTCTCATAATCTAATTTTAAAAAATTATCAAAATTCGAAAACGAACTTAGGAGACAACATTTTAGAAAAGTCTTGAAATTCATTTTAAATGGTATGCAACCGATCGTTACTGTGCTGACCTGGATACCATTATTTAACGAGGAGGAGAACAAAATCTGAAAGTGTCGATCAGCAACATTTGACTAATGGACTTACGTGGTGCCGACCTTAAGTCACACAAAAATTATTAATTTAATGTGTTATAAGATATCAAGTTGCTTGGAAAAATTATTATTTTAATTCTTTTTTTTATTGTAATTATCTGTCTGAAGTGAGGAATCCACCACTAGTTGTCCACCCATTTATGCAGAAAGATCCGCACGCCTGACAAGCACATTTTACATATCTCCTCCGGACTAATTCCACTTAGAGTTAAAAATTTAATCTAATTTGTTGATTTAATAATATGGTTTAGTAAGAATTATTGGATCAATATCAAGTTCTAATGTTTGATGGGGCCTACAATCAATTTAAAAATCACAGTATATTAGGTCAACAAATTAGATCAAATTTTTAAGTGTCAATAACATTGTTATTCTGCTAATTCCATCTTTTCTTTATGCTGAGAAAAAAACTACCATTACAACCGCACATCTTTCGATATATTGATTTCCAATTGTCAACTGGTTGAACTTAGTGCGTGCTTTTTTATTATTTTTATGTGGGGGGGGTGCGGAAAGGTCGATTCTTATGTATCGTTTGCTGGTGCTACTTCAAATAGTTATTTTTAAGCACAAAAAAAAAAAAAATGACTTTTGTTATGAAAGAAGAAATATATTTGATAATTATTATATAATAGAAGCAATTGATCCAGGGAGAAAACCAGAAACTACTTTTTATTGAAGAACTATTTAAATGAATAAATATTGATTATCTTTGTTGCTTCTTCTAGCATAACACATGCGTGGCATGTGAGGAATTTTACTACAATCATACTTTTTTTTTTTTTTACTGTCAATGTGTCCGAGTTAAATATCTCGTTAATCTCTTTTTTGATTCGGTCAAAGATAGATCATCTACACTGAAATTAGAATATTCATGAGAGATAAATTCTTCATGACTTGACCCCAAAGAATTATCAATATTTAAACTCATGATGTCTAAATTTACACTAATATTATTGAGACATAATTTAAGGATATAATAAGTTGTCACAAATGAAATGATAGTGAAATATAGTTAATCATAGGTTCCATTATAGAATTAAATAAATTCATTATCATTTTATTGATGATAAATCATTATGTCTCAAATTATGTTCCGTTGGAATTAATCAAGACTCTTTCCCTTTGGCTCAATTGGGCCTTAACCCACCCCCTCCCCAAAAAATGAATTTGAGCAAATTGAAATAAAATTTTGAGATATTAAAAGTATAACTTTTGAATTTCAATTTCATGAGATAAAAAAATATTTTTTTATTATTATTTTAAAATTTTATAAAAAAGGAAATAGCGAAATTCGAATTTGTGATTTAACGGTCCAACGATAGATCGTAGTTGTCATTAGGTTAACCATTAATCTTCGTGAAAAAATTATTTCTTAGTATTATTGTATCTTCTCTTTTTTTTTTTCTCAATAAAAGTATGATGTGCCGAACCATATTGTTTTTTTTTTATTTCATCCATCATTCTGATTAAAATCTCTCTCCAGTAAAAACTTTTGGCAGTCCAGCAACACTGTCGTGCAGGCTCTGTACATAATCATCCCACCCAACCCACTCCACTCCCACCCCCACCCCGCAACTGCATCTTCCTGGCCCACACTCCACACAAGTTAAAAAAACAGCTCACATTATTGTTCTCTCAGTACAAACCACTTTTTCTCTCTCACTTCCCACAACTTTCTCCATTTGGTAAAGTAAAACTCGTCCCATTTTCCCTTTCTTTTTTTACAGAATGTACTACCTTCCGTGATCGGTAAACCTCTGGTTTTCGTATTCACTCCCAAAATAGGTGTCCTATTTTCCTTTATTTTCTCGGGAAACGAAAGGAAAAAGCGAAAGAAAGTTATTTCGAGGTGGTTTCTAATTCCAATCTGTTATGGTTGATTTTTTTTTTCTGTACAATTTTTTGATTCTTACAGTTGGAATACAATCGCTAGATCAAAGTATTGTGTTTGGTTCGTAAGGAAAGTGATTTCATTTCAGTTGTGTTAGTGCGTAAGTTGTTGTTATGAGTACTCAATACAGTAAGTTGTATATTTCCGATTTTGGAGAAACATCTGTTGTGCCTTTCACGGGTTAGGTTGGATTTTATAAAAGGACAAAGATGCTTCTCTCTTTCTTTATTTTCTTTTTCTTCCATATTTTCTCGGGAAAGTGACGAGTCCACTTCACGGGTGGTAAGACGCACTGTTTACGAAGTAAACGATGTTGTTTTCTCGCATTTGCTTAGGAAGGATATTGTAGGCCAGAGGAAAACCCCAAACATTTTCAGATAAAGGTAAGGAGACCATAGCTTTCTGATGAAAAAATTGATTTCCACTGATAAACAGTTAAAAACACCAGAGAATCATATACAATATATTTTTGTTTTTGGCTTTATCGATTGACATTTCAATAAATATTTACGTCCTTCATAATTTAGAGCAATTTGTTGATTGATTTATTGGTTTCTTAACTAGGTAGGGAGTGTAGAATAGCAGAGATGGAATTTGTTTTACTAGGGTTTTGGATGCATGTGGCTTCAGCTTCTTGTGGAATGTTTGGATATCGTTTGACTGATTTTGGTGGGTCACGGTCTTAAACGTATTGATTGTTTGTTATGGTAAAAATAGATCGGTAAAAGTTGATAGAGAGAGAGAGAGGGAGAGACTTTTGTTTTGTATGGAGTTAAGGTTGGTTAATGTTTGGTGGGTGATTGGTAAATGTAATGTTTTCTTGGGATTTGTGGAGAAAGAAGACGTGTGGTAAGGGGTAGAAAGCATAATAATTCCATCAAATTTGTTACAGGAGGTTGGAAACTCTCTCTGTATTTGCTCACAATGATAAGCTTGATTATTTTTGTGTGACTGAAACGTGATTTTATTCATGCGGTTGGCAAGTGTGAAACACAACACTAGCAGAGATTGTAGGGTGTTGTGGATTGAGCTTCTTTGAATTTTAACATCATGTTGGTTTGGAAGCTTTGATTTGTATGTTCAGCTTAGAAGGTTGATGCTTCTCTTGAATAAATGAATTTCTCTTTTGATCTGTGCACACTTTCAGTGTAGAATTGGGCCCGTGGCACTTTCAGTGAACTGGAACGGTGATCTGATCCTTTGCTTTTGAGAGGAATTGCAATGAGCTGCCAATACATTGATCTTTTAAAACAGAGGTGCCCAGCAGTTTCATGGGGCAAGTCTTAAAGGTAGGCCTCGTCTTCCTGACTCAGCCATAAGTTGACTCAGGCCATCGATTTTTGAAAATATCCATACTGGCTTTCGCTTTTTGGTGTTTGTTTTTGCTACCTTTTTCTGTGAATTTATCCTATGGACCTAATTTATAATCACATTATGTCGATGAATGCAAGATCTGACACCAATCATTTGTGCATTCCATGTAGAAGAACATTGGGTGACTCCATTTCATGACTCCATCCTCTGCCATGGAGTGGAATGCGAAGTGGGACAGGGAAAACCTAGTCATGTTCAGTACAAAAGGCATTGAAAGTCCAAAGAAACTACAATTAACAGACTGGGGGATTGTTGAAGATGGAGAATTTGATGTTGAATATTTTAACTTGCCCGGAAGAAGCGGTGTTAGCGGTAGCTCTGGCTCTAACGGGGCTCATGATTATTCAACAAAGAGCTCAATATCAGCAACAACCAACTCTTCGTCAAAGGGTGAGATCAAAACATCAAATTTCACTTTTGAGGTATTTGAAGGTTTTCCAGGAGATTTTAACAAGAGAGAATTGGTCAGAGCAGAGCAATCCACAACTTCTCCCCCACTGGAGACCTCAGTTGGCTCTGGTGAACCATTGATTGGTCTGAAACTTGGTAAGAGGACGTATTTTGAAAACAATGGTGCTGGGAGCAACAATAAGACTCCTTCTGTTTCTGTTGTTCCTGTGAAGTCTGCAACGACAGCAAAGAAAATCAAATCATCTTGTCAGAGTGCACCCACCCCACGCTGCCAAGTTGAAGGCTGCAACCTTGATCTCTCATCAGCTAAAGAATATCATCGAAAGCATAGAGTTTGTGAAAGTCATTCTAAAAGTTCAAAGGTCAATGTAGGAGGTCTAGAACGTCGGTTTTGTCAACAGTGTAGTAGGTAAGTTTCCAATGGGAATTACAGCTACTTGTAAGAATGGAAACATTGTCAATTGAAATGCATACACTATCTGTTAAGTTGAAACATTGATTGCTCTTGGTTGCTTTCCTGGTTTCATTCATCTTTTTTGATGGTGCTAGTTTC